TAGAGACTGGAGATCTGAAATGACCACCAGAATCTCAGTTGCCATGGTGCTTCCATTGTAATCGGTCATGCACAAGTGTTGATTGGTTGATAGCTTTAAAATGATAGGAATTCTTATTGTATATCTGCAGGCAACTCCCAGAGGATGCCTTTTATCAGGGTTTACTCAGGTGCTACTAAGATCCGAATTGCTGATACACAGATCACACCCAAGGTCAGCCCTGGGTCATGAAATGAACTCTGGAGTGCACAGATCTGATGGCATAGGAGTCCTGAGTATCAGGAGTTCATATTACTATATTACCATGTATGTTAAGAGATTACATGTGGGTCACTTTACAACATGAAGATTCTTTGATATGATATTTGATATTTTTGATATCTCTTATATTGTGAATTGTGATTAAGATGATTAATTATATATGTAAAATTATTGTAAAATATTTTTCAAAAAATATAAAATTATTTATGATATGTTATAATCATCTGTGCACGGTACTTGTATGTTGGTTTTCCTACTTACCGTGGGTCCTTGTTTGGTTTTGTTCATTCCTACAAAGGCAGCTTGGAAGCACCATGAGTGACCCACCCCAGTATTCTCCAGAATTTCCAAAGCCGGAAGGATATGGGAGTAAATGTTGGCACATTATTTTTCCAGCAGCTGTTCTGATCGTCTGTAGCAGACTGGATGACAACCCAGCACTAGGAACAAAACTACATTTATTTTGATGGATTGCTTGCACTCCCTAAGCAACAAGTCCGGTGTGAAGCTGCAGCAACAGCAAAAAGGAGTTTTGTGGCACTTAACTGCAAGTCAGCATTTTTCAACAAAATAAATTGCTGAATTTTAATTAATCAAACAGTGGGTTAACATATCCAGCTCCTTTTTTGTGAGTGCTTAAAGTGCTGCCAAGTTGCAGCAGACTTATGGCTCTCCCCAGCATGTGATTTACAAGGCAAGTCAGAAGCAGAGGTGGTTTGCCATCGCCTTCCTCTGCAGGGTCTTCCTTGGAGGTCTGCCTTCCACATACTGATCCTATTTAACATCAGAGATCGGATGAGATCAGACTATACCATGTTGTCGTCCATTCCAATAGCTCCTTTTTTAGCCTCCAGAATTGTTAAATGGTTTAATACAACTTTCTATCATAAATAACAGTTATTGTGAACAAACATTGGTCGTACATTGAATACTTCTGAGATTTGCATAGAAATGTCACAAACTCTGGCAATGCATTATCTTCTAACCTGCTGTTCATAGTCTGTTTCCTATCTTTTCTCCCCAGCCTCATCTGCTGTACCTATATTTCAGCTGACTGAGAGTTCACTTCATACATCTGATGAAGTGGGCTTTAACCTATGAAAACTTGTGCTTCAATGAATCTGTTAGTCTTTAAAGTATCACCAAATTTCTTTTCATTTTTTTCTGCTAACCTCTTTCCTTTATTTCTGCAAAATATATTATTTGTAAAGTATGTTATACATATTTTGCTTTGAAACAGATGCATATAGAGAAATTTAAAGTGCGTAAGATTATATATTTTACTGAACCAGCTAGTAAATCTGCATAGATTTACCCCGAAACACTTGATTCCACAATCCTCTGCATCTTTACTAGGAAGCTTAGTGGCTTTTACTCCTGAGTAAGTACACATAGAATTGTAGCTCAAGTCTCTCAAGATTTACTCAAAATCCCCTAATTTCAGTGAGATTTACTCCCAAGTAAACGTACATTAGATTGCAACCTTGCTAAAAAATACTGTTCAAGGATGTTGTATGACTTGCAGAACTGAGACCAGTTCACATTTTTAAAAACATAAACATGTGGTCATACCCTTGGTTAAGCAAGGAAATGTTGCAAGCTCTCAGGCATATGCTTTCAAGCCCCAAAGATTCTTGAGGCCAGGACTGATCTTAAGCAACAGCACATCATATTAACACTGAATAAGTTCTTGCATGTTCAGGTTGAGCTGCCTGAAGTGCTCCAAGAACAAAGGAACATCAGGGTTGTGGATTCCATTAGACCTTCATTTGATTCGTTCCAGCAGTGATGGATACCTGAAAGATGGCATATCTTCTGAAATTAGAAAGGCTAAAAGGAAGTGCTGTGTATTGGAAGTGTAGACATGCCCCTACATCTCTGGGCTTGCAGTATTCTGGCAATACAGTGGAGAACAGGTCAGGATAACCTTTCTGAATTCAAAGTGATGTGTAATTATTGTAATCCACGCAAAAGCCCTACATTTGGCTAATGGTCATCATGCCAAACAACAAATGCTGCAGCTCCTTGTCCTCAAACCATGGCTCTGGACCACTGGGGATAATCCCGAGATACCTCCAGCAGTGTGAGTGTAGGTCCTAAGTGCCAGAACTGTGCAAGTCACATGGAGGCAGAGGGCTCTCTCTCCTTTGGAGCACCTAAGCAGGAGCACCTCAACCAGCTTTTGGATGAAGGAGTTCCTCATCTCCTGCTGTGGGGGTCAATGCCTAGAGCATCCAGAAGGTTCTGCTGCCAGACAAGAGCTGGAGCGACGAGGCGAGGGAAGGGTGGTAATAGGCCAGTAATCTTGAATACCTCTAGTGTTATCCCAGTTCTTTAACTGAGCAGTGCAATGTGCAGTGTACAGAACCTCTGCACACTTACCTGCTACACAGATAGTTGGCCATTTGAATGTAGATGAGTTTGTGCTTCATTTTTAGTGCAATTCAGTGTATGAAACTCATCCCTGAATCCTGAACACTTTGTGCAGGTGTGTCTGGTTGCTCTACAAGTATCTCTCCTTATATATAATTGAGTAGTGAACATTCTAAATTTGGCCTCTTTAGTGTTTGGCCGGAAGAACTGCCACTCAGAAGACACTGGCTGGGTTGACTGGCTGCTTTGTGCAATCCCGCCCAGCGTTTCAAGGTCTTTTGCATGTGGAAGCTGATTGGACTTCACTCCATTCCACACCTCAAACTCCCCCCCCCCACAAGGCAGTTGGAATTTTCAGTTGCATATGGGAACTGCTGTATTCTGTGGTAACATATGTCCTCACTTAAAAGCTGCCTGGGGGATTATGGACCATTCACACACTTTCAACCTTAACATACCTCATAGGGTAGTTGTGCGGATCATACGGGGGAGAGGAGAATGATGTCAGCTGCTTTGGTTCCCACTGCAGGGAAAGACTGCCCTTTCCCTAGCCAGAGGCTGTGGGG